CAAGTTGCACATGATTTTGTTGACAATTTTACTAAATGTTCATTTTGTTGAAAACCTGAAATCTAATACACCAGCTTTATGTTAAGTGGGTCTTCCAAGTCTATAGGAAAATAATTGTATCTCAGAGTTAGAAGGCTGGGCATCAGATGGATTGGATGTCCGTCCACTCTTTCTCATTCCTTTCTGTGACTGTCCTTGGAAAATGATGACCTTACTAGGTAGACAAAAAAGTTGGCTTGAACAAGGAATTGCTTTATTTTGGATTTACAGGAAAAGCAGGATGCCATTTTCTCTTAGTATAAGTTTGAAGAGAGCCTGGCTGTGTCAGGGCTGTGCTTCATATGTCTTTATCTCTATTGAACCTGTCCTCCTGAGGGTCCCCTGATTGATAGATGCAGTGGCTGCTGCTTACTCATTTCCCTTGACCTTGACCATAAATATCTGGCATGGAGAACCACACTTTCTTGCTGTTGTGAGTCTCCTTTTGGTTGGACTTCTTGACTTGGAGCTGTTGTGGTCATTTTCTTAACTTTGTGCCTGTGCTTTCTTCACTTGTCTTTGCTGCTTCTCTTCTTCCTACATCTGCCTGGAGCTTTCTTTTTTCTGTTAATCCTTATTGGATATTTTTCCATAGATTTTTAGAGAGTGGAAGGGAGGGGGAGAGACAGAGAAACATCAGTGAAATACATCGATTGGTTGCCTCGCACATGAGCCCCAACCAGGGCCAGGGATCGAGCCTGCAACCGAGGTATGTGCCCTTGACCAGAATCAAACCGGGGACCCTTCAGTCCACAGGCTGACCAGCTAGGGCTTGGGAGCATTGTCTAAGGCTTAGCTTCATGCCTCTACCCTTGTCCTTTAATACACACTCCTTCCCACTCATTGGGTATGTATGTGACTTCTGGGTAGAGATGCTCTTTACCCCCTCACCCTGCCTCCACTCAGTAACCACAACTCACATTTTGCTGCAGGTGATTTCTTTATCTCTTTCTAACTGACCTTGGACATGTTCCTGAGCCCATACTTTCTCCAGGTCATGGAGCCCTTCAATGCTTCCCAAGATGGCCTGTCCTCCATGACTTTAAGGTTCTTGTTAGTTGACATAGCACATCTCTTCTTCCTTCTTGATTTGGGTTATATTTGTCATATGCTTTCTATCCCTACGAATTGATTTAAACTTTGTACCTTTGCTCAGGGACCTCAGACATAATCTGAGATAAGAAAGATGAAATCCAGTCAATTTACTCTTGAATTTAGTTAGGCTATATTTATGAAGTTTTTGCAGTATAAGCAGTTACTAAACTGGAAGATTGGAATACAGAGCCACAAGGCGCAGCCTGGGGATAAAAACCAAATAATCCATTGCCATAACATCAACCAGGTTTTAGAGATCTTGCCTGTTTCACCTCTAGGGCCTACAACACAGTGTTCTGGGAACAATTAAGTTTTTGTTAAATGAATGAATCAGTGATCATCTAGGAATGAAATCAGAATAAATGTTACCCAAAACAGCTATCTATAGAAAAGATATAAGCCAAGAGACATTTTGTAAATGTAGTTTGGAGAATTTCAAGGAAAACTTTTTAAGTTCAATCAAAATGACCCAGTTATAACCCCAGAAAAGCATGATTGGAATTTGTTTGTAGCCTGGATGCTTAAACTTAATTTAGTATCCTCAGAAGAAAGACTGCGTTTTTTTAGAGGGAGGGGGTTGGGATGGTGTCTGTGGGAATTGGGGTAGTGTGTCCAAGTGAGGAATCAGGTGGTGTGTCTGGTAGCACTGTCTGGAGGCCTTGCGCAGAGGAGCTGTGTGTAGTTCCCCTCCAGGCCTCTGCACTACCAGATGGGCGCATCCCTGTTGATGCCTTTAGCCAGGAAAATCCCTTGCTTTGCTTCCATGCTCTTAATACCCTCAGCTTAGAACATGGCTTCACATGAAGATTTCCTGCCAAGGTGAGAATGTGAGTTGCTGAGAGCTTTGCATCCAGACTGCTTGGGTCAGGTCCTGGTCTTGAGATGCTGGCTGATCTCTCTGTTTCCCCATCTGTAGAATGGGGATAACAGTAACGTCTTCCTCTTCGCTGTCTTGGCACCTGCTCAGTGCTCAGTATTAGCTCTCATCAGTATTTATAAACTTAGTAACTGATCTTCTGGTTAATGCATCCGTTATCTCTGAGCTTAGATAGCCTGAATTAGTCGCCCTGAACGTTGGTGCACTGACAGAGCTGAGCACCATGAGGTGGAAGTCATGACGGATAGGCTCTTCCCGAACCGGTCATCCAGAGAATCCAGCTGCAGTTGTTAGGGAAGACTTTCCTGGAGAAGGTTGTGCTTGAGCTGAGTACTGTGGGAAAAAGTTAGTGAGTCCAGCCCCACAGTAAGGGGTAAGTCCAGCACACTTAGGCAGGGCACTGACAGGTACAAAGGTGTACATGTGAGCGAGCATGAGGTATGTGAGCTGCAGGAGATACAGGGTAAAGGGTGGGCAGGTATGAATAGAGGAATAGAGGGAAATGAGATTGGAGAGGAAAGTGGGACCAGCTCTTGAAGAAATAAGATCTCACTTACTGGGCACTAACCGTGCCTCAGGTGCAGTGCTAATCTCTTAGACTCACTGTGCTAGTCAGATTTTACGCTGTTTTGTGTATGTTACCTTGTTTAGTCCTCATAACAACCCTACGATGTAGGTACTTGCTAATACTATTTTAGGAGAAGTGACATGTTGAATGTCACCTGGTAGGTCTCTGTTGATTCAGCATGCACATTTCTGAAAGGCTAACCCTTGATATCTTTTGTACATTTAAAAGCCTTTTGTGACTCCTATTTCCTGATGAAGCCCAAGCCCACCAAGATCCTCTGGCTTCATGAAACCATCTTGGTTAAAGTGTGAAAATATGTGTATTTTAAAATATGTGTATCTTAAAACACATGGGTGTGTCCGGCTGGTGTGGCTCAGTGCTTGAGTGTCGACCTATGAACCAGGAGGTCAGGGTTCGATTCCCAGTCAGGGCACATGCCTGGGTTGTGGGCTCAATCCCTAGTAGGGGGCCTGCAGGAGGCAGCCCATCCATGATTGTCATCATGGATGTTTCTCTCTCTCTCTCTCCCTTCCTCTCTGAAATCAATACACACACACACACACACACATATATATTTAAAAAAACAGCTTGGGTGCAAATAATTAAGCTCAGAGAAATATCATTCAGTGAAAAAGGCAAGACGCAGCACAATATGTATATGTATCCATTTGTATAAAGAAAAAAAGAGAGAGACCTGAAATAGGTTTCTAAGTACAGAAATTTCTGGAATAATAGAAAAGAAATAGTGGTTGCCTTTGGGAGGAGGCCCCAGAAATCTAGGCTGTTAGACTGACCTAGCTTTTCTTGTGCACTCTTATATAGTGTACAGAATTTTTTCATTCTGTATGTGTATTAAAAGTTAATAAAAATAAAATTTTAAATGCTATGTAGATAGCAATCATTTAGAGAGAAAATGTAACCTAAAGGTTAAGAGCAAGTACTTTATCCAGATTGCTTGGGTTCGAGTCCTGCCTCGGCCATTTACTAGTTACTAACCTCTAACTTATAATCTTTCTTTACCTCATTTGACCCTGTCTGAAAATGGGGAGGTAATAGTATCTACCTCCTGGGGTTATAGTGAGGCTTAAATGCGTTTATATTTGTGAAGGTTTTAGAACAGTTCCTGACAGATGTGGGTTGTTGTTGTTGTTGGTGGTGGTGGTGGTGTGGCCCTGCTCTGTGCACTGCAGTGAGTGTGAAGGTGGGCCCAGCCTCAGTCTCTGTGTTTACAGTTCATCTGGAAGGGGAAAGCGTACAAAGCTAAAAGGAGCAATGGCAGTGGAGGCTGCAGCTCAGGAAAGGCTCCATGGGAACTGAGGGACCCAAGTTGGTTTCATTGAAAACAGTGGATCTTAAATAAGAGTAACTTCTAGAAAAGTGAAAGGAGAGAAAAGGGCACAAAGGGACTTGTTCCAAGGGTGATGTGTGTTCCAGATGGACAGGTAAAGGAGTGAGACAGGAAAGAGCCTTCAGGGAGACTGAAATTGGAATGTGCCATGTGATTGCAGGCCAGAGTTTTCCTTTAGCGTATGTAAAATGATGATTACTAAATGATAACATCTTGGGCTTGTGAAATGTGGCCTTACCTTGATCTTTAAGAGGGTGAGGTATTCCTGTATAATTTATTTAATGACTCCCTTAATGCAGGACATGTGGGTTACTTCCAGGTTGATGCTTATAGACAGTGCTGCCAGTGAGCATGCTGAATGCAGATCCTCATATTCCTGAGTCAGTTTCTAGGGTTCATTTCTAGATGGTATTGCCGCCCCCGCCCCTTTTTTTTTTTAAACAATTTCGACTATATTCCATGTGTCTGGGCCACTGTCTGATAGGTGCTTTTTAAAATTTGTAGTTGTAGCTCTAGCTGGTTTGGCTCAGTGGACAGAGCGTTGGCCTGCGGACTAAACGGTCTCAGGTTCGATTCCAGTCAAGGATACGGCCCGGTTGTGGGCTGGATCCCCCAGTAGGGGGTGTGCAGGAGGCAGCTGATCAATGATAGAAACATTGATGTTTCTATCTCTCCCTCTCTCTTCCTCTCTGAAATCAATAAAAACATTTTTTAAAAAGAACGTGGTACAGTCTTGTCCAGACTTGTCATTCATTAAAAAAAAATTCGTAGTTGTAAAAAATCGTAATGGAAAAGTCTTTTAGTGTGGAATTAAAGCTAAATATTACCTGAAAAAAAATCTAATTTTTCTACTAACAATTATTTGAGAATTAGGTGCTAGTGAGATGGTAATTATGATTGGGGAACTTGGGAATACTTGAGTCTTTTCCCACCCCACTCCCAGGTCCCAGAGGTGGATGTGTGTGCCTGAGAACACAGGCAGAGGCAAGCTGGCTTGGCTCCCAGACTGAGCACTTGCTGGCAGCTGTGGTAACCTATGTAGGGAGAGGCAAAGGGGTCCCTCTCACCACTCACAGGGACCTACCCATTCTGCCTAGAGAGTAATACACCACATCCTGTGCTTCAGTAATTCTTCAGCATTGTCCATGCTCTTCGAGCCTGGGGCTGAAAGAGGAGGGAGTAATAGGTAGGGAAATGGGAGGAGCAGTGACCTCTTTTTCCCTCTGGAGGACACAGGGCAACACTCTTTTAGTTTGTTTCCAGGACTTTGGGAGTTGGGGCCAGAGGTGAAGGAAGGTAAGTAATATGTTTTAAAGTAGTTGTAACTGTGCAGTAGTTTGGTGGGGAGGGGAGTTTATTTATATTTATTTTACTAATGGTAGGACAGAGTGAAGAATTTCAGTAGAAGGTAAAATGCTGCCCTCTGACTAGTTCCTGGCTTCTTCAGAGCAGTAACTTCCATTTACTGAGTGAGATTCAGGATATGCCAAGTGCTGTCCTTTATGGATTTAATCCTCAGCACAGAACTGAAGAAATTGAGGCACAAGAGTTCAAGTAATTTGCCTAAGGTCATAAAGTTGTTTTTTGCTTTTTAAAAAATCTTTATTGTTGAAAGTATTACATATGTCCCCTTTCTTCCCCCATGGACCCCCTCTAGCCCTCGCCCGCACTCCCCGCCTCCCCCCCCCCAGGCCCATTCTTCCCCACAAACATTCCAGCAGGTCAAATATTTAGCAATGAGGACATTAAAGAAGTCTCTCCACTCCTTCCAGGGGCAGGGAAGACAGCCTTAGAGAGCAGTCCTACTATGTGCGTGGCACTGCTCCAGGCACTGATTCAGTGGTGAATGAGACAGACACAGTTCTTGCTCTCGAGGAGTTTACTTAACAGCCTTAACGGAAGAAAAAGGAGCGGAAGCTTCCATTTACTGAATGGGCTCCTCACTGACTGCTTGCCGTTCCTTTTCAGAGATGGAAGGCTTGCTGGGTGTATAAAATTGGAGTCAGTGTTCCCAGCCTGGAGGAGGGCCATCGGTAAAAATTTTTATGGGTGCCTTACATTTTCAGAAATGGTCCTGGATCTGAAGCGTATTTATCTAAAATTTATATAATTCTCCTCCATAGTAAGAATTTCCAAATTACAGTTTGATCTACCCATTTGTAAATATGCTTCTTGATAAATACTTGTTTTTCCCATTTGAGGTTAATTTTGGGTAGGTTCGTTCCACAGTACAAGTTGTTAAGAATGAGTAGCACTATAGAATTTTAAGTTTTCTTTAAAAACTTTCTAAAGGATACATTCATTTTCACTAGCTCAGCTTTTTCAAATTTGGAAATTTTGGATAACTGGGCTAAAACTAGGCTTAAACAGAGCTGAGTGGATCAAGGCCTTTTCATACTGTAACACACTGTAATAGAAATAAATTCCAGGTTTCTAATAGATGTAGATTTCTCAGAAAAAATTTTTAAATATATTTTTATTTATTTTAGAAAGGAAGGGAAAAGGAGAGAGAGAAACATCAGTGATGAGAGAGAATCATTAATTAGCTTATTCCGGCACGCCCCCCACTGGGGATCAAGCCCACAACCCGGGCATGTGCCCTTGACCGGAATCAAACATGGGACCCTTCAGTCCGCGGGCCAACACTCTATCCACTGAGCCAAATCAGCTAGGGCTCAGAAATTTTTTTTTAACAAATTGGGCTTGAAAAATTACATCAGTGCTGTCCTGGCCGGTGTGGCTCAGTTGGTTGAGCATCCTCCCATGCATCAAGAGGTTACAGGTTCTTTTCCTGGTCAGAGCACAGGCTTGCTTCCCCAGTATGAGGCCTGCTGGAAGCAGCCCATCAATGTTTTACTCTCACATCGATGGTTCTCTCTAAAATTTTTTTTTTAAATTACATCAGTGCTTTGTGATTTTAAAAAATTATTTACTTTAAAGTAGTTATTCTCCTTGAATTTCCATCAAGCAGCACAGTTTTTGTTTGGGAATGTTTTCATAATGCTTGGGTGCATTTGATGTGAACTATTTTAATGGTCCAAAGCCATTTTAGTTTATAGATAAAAACTTCATTTTACATGGGCCACTTTGTTCACCCCTTGGTGGTGTGTGGTAGTTGTTCATATAAAAGTATTTTCCTTTCTTAAATATATTTTCTATTGATTTCAGAGCGGCAGGGCGAGGGAGAGATAGAAACATCAGTGATGAGAGAGAATCATTAATTGGCTGCCTCCTGCACGCCCCCCACTGGGGATGGAGCTCACAACCTGGGCCTGTGTCCTTGACTGGAATCAAACCTGGGACCCTTCAGTATGCAGGCCAACGCTCTATCCACTGAGCCAAACCACGACCTCCTTGTTCATAGATCCACGCTCAACCACTGAGCCAGCACAGGTGGGCAATAAGTATTTTCTTGGCAAGGCTTTGTCCCTCCCACCCCATTCCCCTTTTTTCCTTCTTTTGAATATTTCTGTTTAACAACTCAGAGTGTTTCTCTAATAAAATTCTTTCAAAAGTTCTAATACTTGTTTTGTTTGAATGGCAACAAGCTTTGAGAGTTAGTCTTTTGACTTCATTAGAAGCCTAAACACAAGTCTTAGAATGCAGTAAGTTAATTTATTACCAGGAAGTCAGATAGCTACATCTGTCCTCAGCAGGACCAAGTAATAATGGATCTTTAAAAAATTAAATGTTCGCCCTGCTGGCATGGCTCAGTGGTTGAGCATCAACCTACAAATCAGGAAGTCAAGGTTCGACTCCCGGTCTGGGCACATGCCTAGGTTGATGTTTCTGGTTCTCCCTCTCCCTTCCTCTCTGAAATCAATAAAAATATATATTTTTTAAAAAATTAAATGTTCACTATTTTTCTTTGTATGACATTGAAGATATGGTGATTACCTTCCATTTCATTTATTTTTCTACTTACTTATGTAATGACTTTTAAAATTAAACTAGCCTTTGATTTTCCTCTTTTTCCACCCTCCCATCTCCACCCCCACCCTCACTCCCACCAAAATACCCAAAATTAAACTGTCCTTCATCTATATGACTGTTTTAACACATTTGGCCTGTTGTTGTTGTTTTTTGTTTTTTTTTATCTGTATTATTTTGAAACTAAATTTCAACTCTGTTGACTTGTGGTTAGGATTTTTTTCTTCTGCTTAAATAGAATTATCACTCGTTTGTAGATTACCAAATATAAAAGCTCTTCAGACCCACTAATGACAAATTGCTTTGTTTTGTAGAGGAATGTCATATTTTGTAGTGACAAATAGTTATAGAGCACGTGTCAACACCAAAGGCAGTCAGGTGTCACCATCTGGAGGCAGACCAGAAGCTCCTTGCCAGCAGGCACTGTTAGCCTCTGTATCCTGAGTGGCTAATGCACTTAAACCCAACTCGCAGGGCTCACCGAGTTGGTTGGGGAAGGGTGTAGAAGCACCTTTATTTTAACTATGCTCTGATTAGAATTGTTTAGAATTCTATGATTAGAATTGTTATTTAGTAGTGTTTTTTTCTATATACTTGAGTTTTGGTAGCTCAGTTTAGGATAACATTGGGCTTTTGATCTTGTCAACTGATCAGTTATTTAATAACTTTATTTTGTTTTAACAGCAGTTTTAGTAGCTACTTCTTGACTAAAAGGGAAAAAAAAGTTTAATCCTAGCCTCCTTAAAACTTTTTCATTGACATTTTTTACTGATAGGACTTTAATGTTTCAGGTGTTTTCACATTCTTTAAATTAACATGCTCTTAATTAATTTAATTCCTTGGAAACTGTTTCTGTATAATAGGCTATTGTCCAGTTTTGCACATGTTTTTCTTTGGGGACAGTCTGGACCTGGTGGACCCAGAAGTCACTTCCTTTCCTCTGGCCTTGGCTCTCCATGCCTGCCTTCCGTTTTGATGTTTTAATGATACCCTCCCTGTTCAGTGATTTGTGTTCAGGAAGCTGGACAGTGATTACTTTTGTTTCTGCTTTGTGAACTTCCTCCACCACTTCCTATTTTTATGGAGCAACTACAGGAAATGAGGCAGCTCCTGGCTGCTGTTGCTAAGCTCTGATTTTAGGTGGGTGAGGACAAGGCCTTAGGGCCTGAGCCATTTAAAGCATTTTCCATCTTTGTCTTTTCACTATCTCCTTCCTGTAGGAATCATAGCAACACCATTAGGTTGATATGACGATATATCCTCCTCAGCTTTGGGGGAAGGGAGCAGCTGCTGCTCAGCTGGAGGGCAGAGCTTTTGTGAAGTAGGTGAGGGGTTTTTCAGTGGTAACAGTAGGGATGGGAGTAGTGACTCTACGGACCAGCTGCTGTCATGGTTGAACAGTGGCAGGAGCAAAGGGTGGATTGAAGAGACCTGTTACGACTACGGCTGGAAAGGTGGGTTCTGGTTATTTTGGAGGCCTTGACTGGCAGGCTCAGGGTGAACTAGGGAGCCCCCATCTGCTCTCTCAGATCTCTGACTGGGTCTCAACCTCTGTGGTGCTGTCCCTCTAAACTCATGGCATTTGTTTTCTAAACTACTTATTTAGTTTTTACCCACCTCTTTTCCAGTGATACTGTCTTATGAACCTGTTGTAGCTTAATTTATGGGGAAGTTTGTATCATCTTCCCAGAAAGAAGTAACTTTTTGCCGAAACTGGTTTGGCTCAGTGGATAGAGCATTGGCCTACGGACTGAAAGGTCCCAGGTTCGATTCCGGTCAAGGGCATGTACCTGGGTTGCAGGCACATCCCCAGGAGGAGATGTGCAGGAGGCAGCTGATCGATGTTTCTCTCTCATCGATGTTTCTAACACTCTATCTCTCTCCCTTCCTCTCTGTAAAAAATCAATAAAATTTATTTTTAAAAAAAGAAGTAACTTTTTATACATTAGGTAACTTGAATATAGAAGGAGCTCAAAGCATTTGTTTAGCAGTTGCTCATTAGCGGCACTGTTGACCTTTTGGGTGGATAATTCTTTGTCTTTTGATGGACAGGGGGCTGTACTGTGCATTGTAGGATATTTGGCAGCATTTCTGGCCTTACCCACTAGCACTCCCCTAGTTGTGACAACCAAAAAATATTTTCAGCCCCAGCTGGGTGGCTCAGTTGGTTGTAGTATTGCCCCCTACACCAAAAGGTTGTGAGTTAGATTCCTGGTCAGGGCACATACCTAGGTTACAGATTCAATCCCCAGCGGGGGTGCGTGTGGGAGACAATGATTGATGTTTCTCTTTCACATTGATGCGCCTCTCCCCCTCCTCTTCCTCTCTCTCCAAAATCAATAAACATATCCTCCGGTGAGGATTAA